CCACTCTCTTTTGAATTGTCAACAAATTTTGAAATCAGCAATATCTAGATTTAATCATTTTTATGTTGCTCTTTAGTTTTTCCGTTAGCTATTTTTTTGTGTTTATGTGTTTCCAATTATTTTTTGTCATCCTTTTCTTACACAAATGTATAAAATCCAATACTTTTCCAGAAAATTCCAGCGGAAATGATTGTCATGACTTAGCTCTGACTCACTCAAATGTGATAGTTAGTGGCGAGATTGGTATTCTGTTTGATAAGCTGTGATTAAGACAAAAGAAAACTTTTTTAGCTGTGACGTAAACTTGCCATGGTAGCTTATTGTTAGATACGCATTCCTCATCAATGATGATACTTTGGGCTCCAAGTAGTGGCATAAGCAGTTCCTCAAGTGTAAGTGATTTTTTTCCTTGACACATAGTTTTCAAAAATTCCATCGCCAAATATCAGAGAGTCTCATCATTCTTTACCTTTTCGATGTCTTAACTTTGCTTCTGTCGTTTTGGAACAGATTAATTTGCCGTTGACACGCCACGTGATTTATGCCATAATGATCTTTTTACATATACATAAGTATAATAATGAACTTTCCAATTAATATGAAATGCATGGCTGCTGTAAGAAAAAGAAAAATGACATTGCGAGGGAAGGCCAAAGCAAATATGCGTAAACATTCGGAGAAATAGGGTTCAGAGATACTTCTAAGAAAATTAAATCTAAGAGAGATAAAGAAGAAAGATAAAGTGCATACTGAGATAAGCAACCGTAACAATTGACTAAAAAACTAGTTAGCAGATATAACAGACGGGATATGACAAGAAGGATAACAACTATGCAAATTTTTTGCAGAAGTGTACATAAGAAGGCAAGAGAATTTACATATAAGACACATGCAATGGCTCGAAGAGATCCACAGTTGATACTTGTTGAAATGAATTCCAGGAGTTAGAGGATACCAGCGAGTCCTGCAAAAAGTAGCCATTCCATTTGATTTTGAATATTTTGTTTGAAATAGATAAATTTGTTCGAGCTATTCTTTGTGGAATAAGTTCAAGAATCATTGCTGGGATACTTGGTCAACACATCAATAATCATAGAAATGATAGAACTAACTTCCCCTTCCAACTTTTTTTTTCAAAAATTCATTTCAGAACGCTGCCATATGCTTACCGGATACTGTTCAGAAGTGCAATGGATCTTAGCCTCATACATATATTTCTACCTGTCGCACACCAATTCAGCGACTTTTTCCGTTCACTCATATTGGAATCATGATCACTTACGATGCGCTAGAGACATCTTCTATTAAATAAATGTTTAATGTTAATAAATGTTTACCAGGTTTGCTATCGGAAATGGCGCCATTGGCTTTTAACCTCCTCTTGTGACGAGCTCTCGCGTTCAGGGCATTCTTTGCTGTCTTCCATGCAGTCTTTCTGGCATCAAGTGGCACGTTGTAGTACTTGTAGATGCACTGTAATAAAAAAATTTTCAACTTTTTGTAATGTATGATACTGTCATTTTTGAGTTAATGTGTGCGTTTGCAGACTGAGCGCGGTACTCCACGACTTTGGTTGGAGAAAATCCTTCAAAATCGTCCCGATGATTATTTCAAAAGTACTTCTTTTCTATGCTGATGGAGCTAAACACTTTTGCAGAAGATTAAAAGAAATTAAAAGTCGCTTAGAAGTTGCAACATTGAGATC